TACTTGCTAAAAAGGACAAAATTATCATTAATACAATGCATGAACTGACATTACGCTGCTTTTACTGCATTTGTTTATTTGTGTGGTCATAAAAATTACATGAAATTTTCGACATGATTGTAGTGCATCCACTTTGATGTGATATCAAAATTATTTTTTTGCTGTGTATGCGATTTTTTTCCTAATTGCATACAATCATGAGCATAGAGGAAATATGCCATCATATCGTATTATGCTGCCAGGTGGCTTGAAAATGGCCCTCTGGGTAACCGTAGTCACGGGAAAAATTATCAATTCATGAAATTATGCTAAGAATTAAATAGCAATTCAATTCAGAACTTTCTTTCTTCTCCTCATAAACTCATTGGAATTCTCATCAGAATTCATTAGAACATTATCTCAGAATTACCTGGGAACTTTATACAGAACTTCCTTCGGATGTTTATTAGAATTTTGTAGTTAATCTTCTCTGCATTTTTCTTGAGTTAACAATTTAATGTCTTTTAAATTCTCCATAGGTATTCTCCACATAATTCTATAGATTTTTTTTATTGCTGGAGTCCTGAAAATTGTTCCAAGTTGCAGAGCCTTAAAAACTTAACTTAAGTTTTTTTAATATTTCACTTTTTGAGTATTTTTCCCAATATCATATTTTAAAAGAAATATTGTTTTTTTAATAATCAAAAACTTGGAAGTTTTTATGAATATTTTATAAATTTGATAAAAAATATCATGGTCTATTTCTCATCAAACAAGCAGACCTCAAAGCTTCAGAATCTTGAACATTTTCGTAATGACATTTTTAAAGATTTCTTTTAATGTAGACTACGAAATGTTCAAACATTTTCTCACTCCGATATCGCCAACAATTTTCCAGCGATCTCATTTGTATCAAGTTAAAGATTCGGCAAACATTTTTTTAATTGAATCCTTCAATTTTGGTCTAATCACCCATTCAGCTCAATAGCGTTTGGCCTAGTGACCTTAAAAATATTAGTTATCTAAAATTAAATGATACTATTGCAGCTCTTTTCTGCAATCTTTTCTAAGAGGTCTCAATCTTATGCTTGCAAATCCCGAGAAGTTACTGAGCAACTGAGTCATTCTTATGGTCACTAGGTCGAACATTATTGAGCTGAATGGGTCATTAGATCGAATTATAAAGAATGACAGATTTAATTAAGAAATTGAGATATCTTTAACGTGATACTTGATACATTTCATTCCATCAGTCTACATTTGTCGATGACTTCCAGTTGACTGACACGCTGGACTGATAGATTCGTAATTATTATTAGCTGACCCATAATTGTGGGATGGCTGTAAAACGGAAGTGAAATCGATCAAAACATCGTAAAAATCAATGGTTTATTTTCCAATACATCAAGCGAGTCATTTTGTTGAATTTGAAAAATGATTCCTGTAGTTTTCCTATTGAAGATAGTTTACCCACAAATATTATAGAAAATTTGTGCTTGGTAGAATAAATTTAATGCTTTCGTTTTTTACTGAATATTACAATCTGGGATTTTTTTAAATTTGAACCGAGAAAAAACCAAAATTTCAAAATGAAAATTCACAGGTCACCCTGTACAAATTTTTCTAATCATTAAAACCCTGAATCTTCTGGAAAATTTATGCATATTTCGTTTAGGAGCATGATTTCTAGCTATTTTTATCAATCCGGGAAAACTATCCAATCGAGAAAATCCGTTGATTAAAAATATTAAATTTTGTGACTGAGAATGTGAACATTTTTCAACCTCATGAGCATTGGTAATTTTCTCAAGTCCTAAAATTTGATACTCAGTTTTCCATATTTTCCTCAAAATGCCATTGGTGTGCTCTAATATGACGTTTAGCAGATGTTTATCGATGTGTGTGTGTTACTCGGGAAATCAGAGCAGTGTCCGAACCTTCATTTGGTAGCTAGGTTGCACTGACGAACTTGGAAAATCCTGGAAATACATGAGGGAAATTTACTCTTCGCTAAGTTTCTGCACTTTATATGAATTATGAGTAAATTAAACTCAAATTTGGGTCGTTCTCATTGGTCGTATACTCAGTACGGAAAACAAGATCGACGGAAAACAAATCAATCAATGCCTTTCTTCAGACAACAACTTGACTGCGGTAAAAATCGATAAAACTGTTTCAAACACATCGTCGGTATATGAGCGAGTCGGTGATCATCTCTTTTTGGCAGTAGAGGCGAAGGGGGGGGGATAGTCCTCACCATCCCTCTCCAACGGGAGAGTTTGGCAAAGAGAGATGATCAAACCGATTTGTACCTTCCTAAAAAGTTGTCCTTGCTCGCTTTCTACTCTCTATATACAATTTACAAACTGCCGTACTAAAGGGTGATACGGTCAAAATTTGGTCAATATCAACTTGACGTATTTCTTTCAATTTTGCATTTAAAAAACCTGAACACCCCTCATTTTGAAGGTGTGTGTGTGTAGAATGTTGCTCCTATTTTGATATTGGAATTCACTCTTCAGTTGTCAAAATGCCGTTCAAGCAAGAAGAGCAGCGTATCAAAATTTTGCTCGCGCATCGCGAAAATCCGAGCTACTCGCACGCAAAGTTGGCAAAATCGCTAAAAGTTGCCAAATCAACCGTTACAAATGTAATTAAAGTGTTTGGGGAACGTTTGTCGACAGCCAGGAAGTCTGGATCGGGGGGAAATCGAAAACCGGAAGCCGCTGAGACGACAAAGAGAGTTGCCGGTAGTTTCAAGCGAAACCCTAACCTCTCTCTCCGAGATGCCGCAAATAAGCTGGGTGTATCGTCTACAACCGTGCATCGAGCCAAAAAACGAGCCGGACTATCGACTTACAAGAAGGTAGTGACTCCAAATCGCGATGATAAACAAAATACGACGGCCAAAGCGCGATCCGGAGGCTGTACACGACGATGCTGACGAAGTTTGACTGCGTGGTAATGGACGACGAAACCTACGTCAAAGCCGACTACAAGCAGCTTCCGGGACAGGAGTTTTATACGGCAAAAGGAAGGGGAAAGGTAGCAGATGTTTTCAAGCACATGAAACTGTCAAAGTTCGCAAAGAAATATCTGGTTTGGCAAGCCATCTGTACCTGTGGCTTGAAAAGCAGCATTTTCATAGCTTCCGGGACTGTCAACCAAGAAATTTACGTGAAAGAGTGTTTGAATAAACGTCTGCTGCCTTTCCTGAAGAAACACGGTTGTTCCGTACTGTTTTGGCCGGATTTGGCATCTTGCCATTACGGTAAAAAGGCCATGGAGTGGTACGCCGCCAACAACGTGCAGGTGGTTCCCAAGGACAAGAACCCTCCCAACACGCCAGAGCTCCGCCCAATTGAGAAATACTGGGCTATTGTCAAGCGGAACCTAAAGAAGACCAAAAAAAAACTGCTAAGGGCGAGCAGCAGTTCAAGGCAAACTGGCTTTCTGCGGCGAAGAAGGTGGACAAGGTGGCTGTACAAAATCTGATGGCAGGGGTCAAGCGTAAGGCCCGGCAATTCGGATTTGGAAAAGCGGAAGCCTAACTGAATATTTTTCCTGAATTTTATACTAATTGAACTTGAAAAAGAAATTTAATTTGATTTTTTAAATAAACGATTTCACCGATTTACACGCGTTTTCCCTTGACCAAATTTTGACCGTATCACCCTTTATAACGGAACTATCAACTCTATACTTTCATCTCCTCATCTATCGTATAAACATTACCACTTTAGCCTGTTATTTGAAATTAGCACTTCAACTACATTTTTTTTTTAAATCTTTATTTAAGAGATTTTTAGCCATAGCCTAGTTCATCTCTTCTTCAACTACAAAAAAAGATTAACCTCCAGGATAAACCTTGTCGAAGACTGGGACTTGTAGACCGGATGATCGCTCAAGCTTTCGCCAACACTACTCGAAAGTTACGATAGCTTGGTTCAAAGCAAACGCAGTGCAATACGTGCCCAAAGAGAGGAGTCTTCTGAACTGTCCGGGTGTCCGGTCAATCGAAACTTTTTGGGCATTGGCTTCTTTAGGGCTGCGGATTCGATCGTAAAATCGAAGGAGTGTTTGCTGAACTTCATGGACAGCATCAGATCAAAAGTTCGCTTCTTGGCTTGCGAACAACAGCCCCGTGGATTTTGTCATCCAATTACAAGACAAAACCATGGAAATTGCACATATTCGTCTGCGAATGTATCGGAATTTTTTACCATCATGAATTTCCCATTCATTTCATATCATATCGCTTAGGAAATTTCCCAAAAAAAAAATACGTTTTGCAAGCCCTATCAATAATTGATGACCAATTTCTGAAGTCGTTTTGGAACCAGTAAATAACTCTGATTGCTTCATTATAGATGAACATTAATTACGGACGCGATGTTCCCCATCGATGACGTCGGTAGGTTTATCAGTGAAGCAATGTTATGCAGGTTTTAAATTTAATGATTACAACCAAATGCGAGTGAAGTAAAAAGTCACTCCAACGTTTTCAGCAAATTCATCCCCATTCGACTGCCAATGATTTCATAGGAAGGCAATTGTTTCCAATCTCTGCTCTAGAATAACCGCCCCAAGAAAACAGACATTCGAACAACAACAAAACAATCTAATCATTCGAAGAAGAACCAAGCTACAGAGATAAATGGGGCTGATAGGAAACTCCCCAAAAGCTTCAATTTCGGCCGAACAACGCAACAGACGTACCTTTGACAACGTCCAGTTTGGACTGGAACCTAACTGGTTTCGAGAAATTCCAATTTGATTCCGGCAACCGGCAGCTGTTTCGACTTTCATTTTTTTTATTCCTTTTCAAAACGATATAGAGTCAGCGACAGCAAACAAATGTTCGTAAAAAATGCAAATAATTCGCAGTCCATCTCCGTATTCGTTTTTCCCCATTCCTCCTCGCCTATAGAACATAAATCACTAGACGCTTTCTCCGCGATTTTACGTTTGGTTTGCCTAATTTCACTAATTTGTTTCAATTTTCTTTTGTTCAATTTCAGGCAAATTCATCAAGGATACTCCCGGGAAGCAAGTGCTATCCGATGGCGTAAGTGTTCTCTCTAGGTTTAATCGTTCTTCGGGCTTCGGCCTATCTCCAAGTGGACACTTTTCTCGTCGAACTCGTCCTCAACTTGGCACACCAACTTTTCTATGTGGTGATTGACAGCAAGAAGTGACTCGAACGCCCCGATATAGACTCCCGACTCACAGCTCGAGATTATTATCGGACGGAAAGGGAATGCAAAGTGCACGTGTGCTTCTCCGTGCGCATTGTTATAGTTGTTTGATAAATGCAGAATGAGCGAACAATGCAAACGAAGTGGAGAGCGGAATTCTACGTTGATGGAATTGTGCGGAATGATTGTCGTCGATTTGCGAAGGATGCATTATAATTGCTCACGAGTCTGCTTCGTTTATCTATGGTGCAAAAGTAGGACAGCGGCGTCAAAGTTTTTTTTTTCTTTTTTCATAATTGATTCGTGGAGTAGTTGAATCGAAAAATCGTCCACTTCCTTCCTACGACACACGAGCGCGTTGATGTAATGCAACACAACGAATTCGATACAGAACTCAAAGGTGACCCTACCTTCCGTGCTTACAAAGAAGCAGATCGTGTGCTGAGAATTCCTTCGTATGCCACGTGAACCAACGGCTCTCTATCGCAATAAATACAAAAGCTCAATCATAGCCAGCCGCAGCCGCACACAACAGTTCAACAAAGTGTGAACGGCACGCGAGACTGAGAGCGAGAAATGAGCATGACTGGGCGGTTATTGTTTCGATCAAAGTTAGTTAGTATATCTTGGTCTGTTGCTTCTTCTTGGTTGGAACCGACACAAAGCCCCAAACTTACACCGCGTCGGTGCGTGATGTTCCGTTTCTCTGACCACACACACACGACTGTCGTTGATGGAGCCGGAACCGGTGCGATGCTTGATTCATTAATTTGTTTGACTGGGCTATCCATTGATCACCTGTTTGTCATATTCCGGCGGGGCAGGTGCAAGAAACTGCTTACTCTTGCGGTATCGCACGCCAGCGAAACAGCTATGAAACGCGGAGAGAACAGAATCAACAAGCGCCGAAACTTTGATCGTCGTGCAGACAGCTGAATCAAGTTCGAGTGCTTGGCTTGGCTGGGTTTGTCTATTTTTTTTCCGCTTAATGTCTGTGCTCTAGAAGGTTATCGCACTTTTGTGCTGATGGAAGCTCATGACCGAATAACCGACCGCAACACATAGAAGTTTTTCGCGTGGCATGGCTGGCAGAAATCCCTACAAGGCCGGAAAGTTGCGACCACCGCACAGCGCCATAGAGCATACGTGAGCTTCGGAGGAACACTAATTTGCTGGCACGATGGAAATTGGCAAGGTTTTTCTCTTTCGGTACTGTTGCAAAACTGCTGGCAGAGAATTTTGACGGTGCATTGCATTGTTTTCTCGTGAGGTGCTTTATCTGTTCGGACCTTGGAAGCGTTGGGAGTTGATTCTGTAGGTTCATTGGTAAAACTTTTTGAGAAATGCTCAGTAGGATTTTTGGTGAGTAGGCTACTGATAAAGCACTACATAAAGGATCGTATGGAATTTTCTCAAAGAAGCTTAGATTTCTTGGCATTGCAGCTGAATTATGAGTGTTGTTACTCAGTGTAGACTGCGGAGAAGTATGTTTCGAGTTGAATCTTAAGATCTGCATGGCTTCTGTATGATCAGATGATCACTCTGAGCGATCGCTCATTTTCATGCTCAAAGAGCTTCGAATGAAGTTCAAGATTTATTAAACCATTTCTTAATTTAATCTTTTACTGTAAAATTCCCCAATAGCGAGCTTGAAAAAACATTAAAATTGATTCAAAGTATCTCCTCACAATACCTTGGAATCCGCTTTTGAATTTTTTTCAAAATTTCTTCTCCTCCATTTTTTTAAATTATCCTCAGAATACAGTTACTTTCATATTTTTCTAGGAGCTTCCTTGTTTTTTTTTTTAAATTTTCCTTAGTATTCCTTTTTAATTATCATCAGAACACGCTACCCGAGCAGAGAATGAAAACAAAATGAAAACTAAATTTGATGTTTTGATATAAGCGTTCGTGAAAACATATTTTGCCTACCGTGTGGTCGAGTAATCATAACAAAAATGAGATCTAAATGGTACGTATATGAAGGATATTAAAAAGATAACAAATAATGTGTTCTTGATAACAAATCGATGTATGCGTTTTGATATTAGTAATTTCGTTAATAATAATCAAAATAAGTAATCAATATGTCAGTGGCGTCGCGTCCACATGTGCAACCTGTGCACGACGCAGGTGTAAATAATAAAAAAAATGCAATTAGATTTTTATAGATTTTATGGTCAAATTATAGTTGTACTTCTTTACTCCAGACCACAAGTGAATATGAATACACTATTTTATAGTGTGGCTCAATTAAATCTTCGACCTTGGTTTGCTTCAAAAAGGATTAAATTAAGTTCGGATGGTCTGCATAATTCATAATGCATTGATTTCTAAGCATGTCGATATCACTACCATGACAAAATTCGTTAAATAGTGCACCTAAAAGCAAGCTTTTTTGGTGGCGGGTGGCAAGTTTATGAATGTTCACCACTAGTTATAATTCTAGACAAACATTTCAAAAGGTTCTATCTGCATTGGCCGATTCTCTTCATCGACTTTCTCTTTCGTCAGTAACTCAGCTGCAAAACCTTTCCCTGTTGTATTTGACGTTTTGGACGCTAGATAAGAACCTCCTTTATCAAACTATCTGGTAGAATTATCGCGAAATATGTTTGCATAGCAGTGGTTATGAAAAGAGAAAGTCGATGAAGAGAATCGATCAAAGCAGATAGGACCATTTAAAATGTTCATCGAGAAGTTTTCTATCACACGCTCTTACTCTCACTTTGGGTGAACTCTGAGCTTCTTGCGTCGAACAAAAGCGCCATAGTCTGTACGGGGTATTAGCCTTGTGATGAAAACGGGAATTAGTTAAGCTTTGCAATTCCTCTTATTTCGGTTAGCGCGAAAAGGGCCATACAATTTTTGTTTACACAAGATGATAGGCCCTTCAAATGTTACGTTAGGTAGTGATTAATATATTAATTGAGAATATGTTCCTCGAGCTCATGAAGTATTGAAAAAAAAAACAAAAAACTAATATGTGGTGGTAAACTATAACAAACAAAGTTTAGTGCACAGGTAAACAAATGAGGCACGCGACGCATATGTTATTATAACTATGGTAGGAAAAAAAATTGGTTGTTATTTTGATATCATGATATCAAATTTAGTAATCTGAATGTTTTGAAATCTATTGGTTGATATCAATAAAGTGCGAATGGTTCAATATTAAAGTACATAACTGGAAATAATCATCCAGTGATACAAATTACACGAAAGTATATAATTAACCGCTTTTGTCATTATCAGGCTGGTAACGAGTCACTTTCGAGTGACTTGGTCATTTTTTCAAGCCAGTCACTAAAAGTCTCTTTTTTAAGGCCAAGTAACTAAAGTCACTTTTTCTTGTATTAAGTCACTATTTCAAACCTTTTTAAATGAGAATTTATTTCAAGATTGGTCATTCTTCTGAATAGGCCTACATGTTGTTCTATGTTTTGAACAATTCGAAGTTGACGCCCTTGTATAGAGTTTTTTTACGTTTAATCGTTCTTCTCTATCTACAGGGTGTCCACTCATTTGGCTTAATAAAGTTTTCTTAGTTTTCCAATTCCAGTTTATAATAAGAATTCTATTTATGAAATGCGTTAAAACGCAAACGTTTTTAAGACATGACAATCAGTTTTAATAAAACAGCTTTACTATCAAATCCATTAAATGTTGAAGTTGAACACTTCATTTTAGTAAGTCTAAGATCACAACATTTTTAATGTCTTTACGTTTCGTACTAACAAAAATGTGGAAACATTAATGAAGTTTTATTGATCTCAGAAAAGCTAGATCTAGAGATCTTTTTGGAATTCCAGAGATCTTAAGGGGAAGTCTCCGAAACTTTAGCCTAGACTATTGAATTGATTTAAAAATCTATATGCGTGAGTTTAGACAAATTCAGGATAGTTCCTTGATGTGCTGAGAACCCATAAGATGTTCCAAAAGAGTTAGTACAGAGACTTTCAGAAAATTTATGAAAACTTCAGAAATTTTTCAGAAACTCCACAGACATCCAGATAATTCCAGAATTCTATTTATTTTAGAGCAGAACCGAGATCTTCATTAGAGTTGAGAGTTTTAGGGAAGCTTCGAGAACATGAAGACCGATCAGATAATCAAAGGACAGTTCAACAAAAGAATCTAGGATATTGTCGAAACCGGAATTTTCAGAAACTTCGGTTTGCTCAGAAAATTTCTGAAACGCAATAAAAATTATATGAACATCCGGAAAATGTGAGAGTATTTCAAGGGTGAGATCATGAAAATTTCAAGTTCTATAAAAATCCAAAATTTAGCCAAGTTGATTTGAGAACATAAACGAAGTTTCATTAATTAAAAATAGAGATGAACTAGCCTAAGGCTAAAAATCTCTTTAATAAAGAATTTAAAAAAAAACATTAATTAAAAAAAAAGCGAGAGCTTTTAGCAAGAACCGATATTTTCAAGAAACTCCAGAGAACTTCTAAGAAATTTAGATATTTTTAGATTGTTTCATTATATTTAGTGAAGTTCCGAGTACTTCGAGGACGATCAGATAACATCAGAAAAATCACATTAACTTAAAAAAATTTGCAGCGACTTACAAGGAGTTCCTTAGAATTATGGAATATTCCGAGAATTCTATGATTGATCCGAAAACTTTGGAAGCTTCGGGGAATTATAAATATATATCACAAAATGTACCGGAACATTTGATTAGAGAAATAAAGGTAAGCATAGAAAACTTCTGGGATGTCCAGGCTTTCCAGGAAAAATTAATGATTTAAGGCAAAGTTCCGTGAGCTTTTATAAACTTTATAAAACTTAAGCAAAATTGTAGAACTTGTAGAAGGCAATTAAATCAATTTCAGTGGGTTCTTTAAAAAAATACTAA